TCCTACAAAGCAATAATGTGGTATAGGTACGACTTGCATCTAGGTATAGACAAATTTGTATCTAATGGAGATGTTCACAAGGAAACATCGAACGTGGATGCCATAAATGCTTCTCCCTTTTTAGAGTGCTGGGCATCTTCTTGTGAACGCCTGATGTAACACTAAGGGCACCTATCGGCGGATGACACACCGGCGCTGCCGGTGAGAACGATGACGTCCGCCAGTGGCAAATGGCGACTGGCCCACCTTGCACCCCCATACCCTATACTTATACTCATAATCTCTCCTGTTTCTGCCTCTTTTCCTTTTCTCCTCTCCTCTTTTCTCTCCTTCCTCCTCTTTCTCCTTCTCTCCTCTCCTTCCTCTTTCTCCCCTTTCTCTCCCTCTCTTTTCTCCCTCTCATGTACCTACCTTGTATAGATTTGTACCTGTGCGCGTGCATCGCGTGGACCATAGTTTGGGCGCCACTGCCTGCTGGTACAGACTGGATCGTGTAAAAACTCCTCCAAGAAAATATTAAATAATGTGTGTTTGGATGTCAAAGTCGAGAGAGAATTCACTGGAAACGCAAGTGTGTGAATGTCGCACACTTGCAGGTGTGTGAATATCCATTCGTACACTTAGATGGGTAAAGGTGTGAATCTTTCCTAGAAAATTCACACGTTTACCCGCTGAAGTGTACGAATGGATATTCACACACCTGCAGGTGTGCGACATTCACACACTTGCGTTTCCAGTGAAGCGACGTGTGACGTGGAATTCCACACTGTAATTCTTGATGCAATGAAGACTACAAATTTAGTGCAATAATTTGTTATTGCATTAAATGCGATAATTTTAACACCTGTTGCTGCGATGATAAATTATAGCACTAAATTGACATTTGTCATTGCATTGAATGCGATAATCTTAACATATTGTGCTGCAATGATAAATTATCGCAGAAAAATATGCTAAAATTATCGCACTTAATGCAATGACGAATGCCAATTTAGTGCGATAATTATTTTATGGCTCCCCCAGGTGCAATATTTTGTGGGAATCGCTTCTTGGCTATTATCGCATGAAGTTGTATGAAATTTATCGCACTTGACATAACAGTGCACGGGTTGCACTGGTGGGCGCTTGTTACCCCTTCCCAAGCTCGCTCCCTCGTGGGTGGTGGTGGGGAGGCTATTGTGATTACCCGATCATGGTGTGCTCAGCGGAGGCCCCTTGTGGCGTGGTGGTGCGGGGAGCGCGGCGTGGCCCGGCGGGGCGCGGTGAGGGAGGAGCACCGCCACGCATATAAAAGGAAGATCAATACCGTAAAAAGAAAGGGCATTCATGCCTCGTTTTTCTCGATGGCCCTCCTCGGACGGACGGGGCGAAGTGGGACAAACTCTTGGGGCCGTTACCCGCTCCTGCGGCCCGGACGGACAGTACCAAGCACCTCCCATCCTCCATCCACTACGCCCTCTGTCCTCCCTACTCCCCATCTCGCCCTTTCTCCTCCGCTCACCCTTTTTCCCTGCCTCGGCGCAATTTTTTAAGGGATCTTTCTTCACAACTTCTCTTTCTTTGTCCCTGCGTTTTTGCATGTATGGCGTTAGGCGTGAGTCCAGTCCAGCGTTTTCCGCGTAGAGGCGCGCTATCGATTTCCCCGAATTTTCTACTTGGCCTCCTTAGCACTTTAAGGCATCATTCCACCAGTCCAACGTAAATAAAACTGATACAAAGGCCTTAAATGACGTTTAAAATTCCAACAAATTTGTGGTTTATAATCTGTCGGAAAAATTGCAAGAGTTAAGTGTCATATCATCGTCAACTTCCCATTTTTTGATATTCGCAGGATTTGTAATTTAGAAATTAAAACTAAGGGAATTGAGAAATTCCCACAGACTTTGGCACTTTAACTGACGACTTACTATTTCTAAGGAATATCAAAGTTTGGGATGTGAGGGTCCTCACGTGCGCTGTTCAGATTCTAGCTTTTGGAATATTTACATATTGGCCTCTATCGTTGCCGGAGTAAAGTTGAAGAAGCACTTCTGTCACACAATAAGGACTGTTTCACGATGCCCCCC